ATCCCCTGGCTTGATGGTAATGGTTGAGCGGGGGTTATGCCAGGCCATGAGGTTACAGATTGTGCTGGAGTACAATTCTGCTTCTGTTGATGGCCCATAGCGCCTCAAGGATGCCCAGTCTTGAGTTATTAGATCTGTTCGAAATCTGTCCCATTTAGCACACACAATGCAATGGAAGTTATTCTCAATGTGAAGGTGGGACTTCGTCTCCACAAGGACTGTGCAATGGTCACTCTTACCGATACTGTCATGGACAGATGTATCTGCAGCTGGCAGATTGATAAAGATGAGGTTAAGTATGTTTTTCCCTCTTGTTGGTTCTCTCACCACCTGCCGCAGACCCAGTCTAGCAGCAATATCCTTTAGGACCTGACCAGCTCGATCAGTCGTACTGCTGCTGAGCCACTCTTGGTGGTGGACATTGAAATCCCCCACCCAAAGGATATTTTGTGTACTGTGTTGTTTGTGTACTTTGTTGTTCAACATTGAGGAGTACTGATTCATCAACTGAGGGAGGACGGTATGTGGTAATCAGCAGGAAGTTTCCTTGCTCATGTTTAACCTGAAGCCATGAGACTTCATGGGATCCGGAGTCAATGTTGAGGACTCCCAGAGCAACACCTTCCCGATTGTATCCCACCGTGCTGCCACCTCTGCTGGGTCTGTCCAGCCGGTGGGACAGGACATTATCCAGGGATGGTGATGGCGGTGTCTGGGACATTGTCTGTAAGGTATGGTTCTGTGAGTATGACTATGTCAGGCTGTTGCTTGACCAGTCTGTGAGACAGCTCTTCCAATTTTGGCACTAACCCCCAGATGTTAGTGAGGAGGAAGTTGCAGGGTTGACAGGGCTGTTTCTGCCATTGTCTTTTCCAGTGCCTAGGTTGATGCCTGGTGATCCATTTGCTTTCATTTCTTTGAGACCTTGTTGCAATTGGTACAACTGAATGGCTTGCTAGGCCACTTCAGAGGGCAGTTGTGAGACAACCACATTGCTGTCAGTCTGGAGTCACATGTAGGCCAGACATCCTGAAGGGCATTAGTGAACCAGGTGGGGTTTCCAACAGTCGGAAATGGTTTTGTGGTCATCAGTAGATTCTTAATTCCAGATTTATTTCCAATTGGATTCAAATTCCACCATCTGCTGTGGTGGGATTTGAACCTCGGTCCCCAGAATGTTATCTGGGTCTCTGGGTTAATAGTCCATCGCCTTCACATGAAAAACTGGATGATTATAAAATCTATTTTGGTGATGGATAAAGGATAACAACATTATTCAGAGAACATCCCCTTTAGTCTTCCAAAACGTGCCATGGGATCTTTCACTTTGCTCTGAGAAAGTTGACAGTTTAACATTGAGTCTGAACAATCACATCCCATGACAAGGATGGAGCTGTAATGTCAGGCCAGATTAAGTGGTCAGGTCTCTGGAGTGAAATGTGAACTAAGAATTCATCTGACTTGATGACAAGAACATTACACACTGAGCCAAACCAGAAACCCAAGACCAGGGAGGTCTGCCTTCTAGCCCCAATCAATAGTATGGGAAGTCTGGCAGGGATATATGGGAAAACTGAAGGCTTGGGAAACCATCCAATGAATGGAGATGCTCATTCTTCTTCTGTCAGTGTGTTTAACAAGGTTTACTTTTTTTTTTAGATAATAGTTTTTTAAACAGTTACTTTAAATGGATTGCATTCAAATTCACATCAGGAAGCCCGCTTGTAGTGCTGGTGAGAGTTCCTGACAGGATTTTAAATACCAAAAAAAAATGCAAAGCCTCATGTTAACCCATTAATAACAGCACAAATCTAGACATGTTTCCTTCGATATTAGCTTCTCTCAACTGTTTTTAAAGTCAACAGTCCTGTTTTTTGCAGGTACAACAGTCATGGAAAACTGCAAACATCAGTTCCCCAACACTTTGTCAGAATCTAAGGCTGTGTTAGTGGAAGATACTTTGGTGAGGTCTTCAATAAATGGCAATCCTAGCCTTGCTGTCCTGTTTTTAACATTCTGAAATTAAACTCCCCTTATTGCGAACCGACCAGGTCTCTGAGTGAAACTTGAACCCACGACCCTCTGACAGTGACACACAGACATTATCTATACGGTCATCAACTGTGCAAGTAAATTCATAGGGTCCTCTTGCGGTGCTGTAGTAGTGTCCCTGCCCCTCATCCAGGAGGTCTATGTTCAACTCCCACCTGCTCCAGAAGTGTGTAATAACATCTGAGTGGGCTGATTAGAAAAATAAGTGCAAGTAAATTCCATATTTATGAACAAGTTGATCAAAAATATCTGCAAGGAAATTCAAGATGGGACATTTTGCCGCCAGCAACTGCCTGAGGCTGAGCCACACAGAACTTTGGTGCCCCATTCATCCCTGAGACGATCTTCAAACTGCATTGCTGCCTTGTCCTTGGGAGCATGCACTTCTTCCTCCACAATTCCAAGATGGCGGCAGAGTAAGGCTCCTGAGCCAGACCTCATCCATTCCGTTTCTTTCTTTTTTGTCTCTCTCTTTTCACTTTGTTTTATTTTCACCTCCTGTCCTTGGGCAGCATCAGCAATGTCTGGGATAAAAGTGAGCATGGACTCCTGGCCTCAGTGTGGACCCGAACTCCTGGCCTCAGTGTGGACCCGAACTCCCGGCCTCAGCGTGGACCCGAACTCCCGGCCTCAGTGTGGACCCG